GGGGGGGGTGGGGAGGCATTTGGGAACCAAACATTTCAATTTGAATGTAAGCTCTGTGGCCTCTGTGGGATTTTGACTGCAATCCCCGAGCCTACTTTGAGGCAAACCGATATTTATGTAAAGCGAGAGCAGCACAAACACATGGTCTGGCTGCATAAGGGGGCCTTTCTCGTGGCCCCACACTCCTCCATTAATCCACAGCCCATCCCTCTTCCCATTTCCTGAAAGCAAATGCATTTTTAACACCTCTAAAAAGGGCCAAACAGAAAACATTTTGCTTTAGGAAAGGTGTCTCCGAAAAGCCCGTCAAAGGCCAACAAGACACCTTGGCACCTTGGGTGGGAGCAAACCCTGCAATTCGGGACCCAACAGCAGAAATCAGCCAAACCAACAAGCAGCACACAAGGGGTGAGATCAGGTGCCTCGAGCTGGCCAATCCACACCCGACTTACCGGCTCGTCCTTTTTCTGCATCCAGCTGTATTTCTTGTTGGGGTCAAGCTCTCTTGGGAGGCGGAGTATCACTGGAGGGGGCATCTCCAATGCCTCCAGCAGCACCTGCCTGCTGGCCGCCAGGAGGCTCTCTAGAGCAGAGGGTGCCGTCATGCCTGCGCAGACATGCCCATTAATCAACATAGAGCAAGATGCAGACAGGCCCCTAGCACCACGATCACAGAACTCTGACCAGGGGGGAATCGCCATTGACCTCAGCTCTAATTCATCTCACCAAGGTCACACTAATTAGTGTGAACACAGGAGATACAACATCCATTTGGATTTCCATAGCTCAGGCTTGCTCATTTTGCCCCCTGGTGACCACGTCAACATGCATCACACACACACGTGTGCCCCTAGACCTCAACCACACCCCCCAACCCCTATTTAAGCTCTACCCCTGCGGAGGTGAACCTTACCCTGGTCATCTCCCCGCTGCCGTTCCAGCTCCAGCGCAGCCATGTCACTTAGGAGGGCCATCCCCTGCAGGGCTCCAGGCTCCAGCAGGGCAGCGCCAGCCTGGGAGGGCATCGCCTGGGGCAACTCGCTAGCTGCCACCAGCGCAATCATGCCTGCCATTGGGTCCTCGGCCGTGATGTCGAGAGGAGAAGAGGAGGATGGCTGGTGGTGCAGGAAGAGTGGGCCGTCGCAGAAGGGTGCGTTCGCATCAAGGGTTCCCAGACTTGCCTCCTCGGGAACAGAGTCCACCTGGGCTGGCATGTGCAGCGCGGGGCTGCAGGCCGGGGACTTGGTATAGCGGCCTAAAAGTTCATCATCTCTCTGGGGGGTGTCCAGGGGGGAAGGGCAGGTTGGGGCCCTGCAACTTAGGATGGCCATGTCCTCCACCTTCATGTCACCCCCGTTCCCCTGGTCCTCCTCGCTGTCTGGCATCATGGGAGCCACGGGGAGTCCCTCGAGGCTGGGCGAGATGTCCCGATCAGCAGGCGGCGAGTCCGTCCTGTCGCAGAGTGACACCAGTGCCCCTTGGGCCAGCCCTTGCTTGCTGTCCTCCACACCCGGCTCCTGCTTGAGGGCCGTGTGCTCCTCCTCCTCCGGCTCACACCGGGATGCTGGCTGGGGCTCCACCATCTGCGGAGAGCAGAGCCGCACGGGCTTGACGTCATCGCCGGCCTGCAGCGGCACGTCCGGGGCCAGGCCATCGGCGTCAGCGGCCGCAGCCGGCTGGAGCACATACGGGTAATGGCTGCCAAACGGGGGGGTTATGGGCTGGTACGGGTAGCTGGGACGGATTTCTGGGGGGAAAACAGCAACACGAGGAAGGGAGGGATGGAGGGAGAAGGGAAGAGGGCTTCATTAGTCCTCGGACCATAAGCAGGCCGAACCCAGGGCTCCAGCAGCTTTCTGCAGAGCCGAGCTGCACCTCTGGATTCATCACCGCATCCGCTTTTCCCCCAGTCGCCTAAAGCAGAGAACCAGAAATTAACGAAGGAAACACGCCAGACCTGAGCCACCATTAACGACCATTTGACTGGCGGCGTCGAGCAGTAAGCGGCCTGAGCGTGGCGCTCTAAGCAGAGCTGCATCGGTCATCAAGATCAGACCACTGGGGGCCCAGTGTAAGGGTGCCATTAAAACCCTGACAGGAATAACGGGGTGATTACCCACCAAATTGAGTGCCAACACGGGCAAACACCAGACTTCCGGTTGAGTGAACGCTGGCGCGTTTGGCTGCCGCTGCTCCCCGAGATAGTTATTTTCATATTTTACTTACTTTTAACTTTAAATTCTGGCATTTTATTTGGCTGTTTTTTCTGCTGAACTGCCGGTTCTCGTGCTAGTAATGAACTGGCCTCTGATCACTTCTTTGGACCCCAGCGTGGATGTTATACCTGCTGTCCGGATACTGCGGCATTCGCTGTTATCCTGGCTTGCGAGCTGTGGATTTATTGCAGCCCTGTTTTGCCTCAGTCGCCTGAACGGTGTGTCTGTGCAAGTCCTCTCATGTAATTCCGCAGATATCGTATTGGTAAGTTCTTTCTTGCTTACAAGTTCTTGATCATGCTATCACACTACGGGGTCTGGTTCCTGGTGTCGCCAGCCCTAAAGTGTTTGTGGATAGCATGTGTTGGCTAACGCATTAAACTTGACTTGTGGCTAGGTACTGGGCGCTAACTTGTTGCTGCGTGCTGTAACTGGTTGCATCACTGAAGTTCAACTCTGGTCTAAGACTGTTCATTCACCCTCTCAAATGCGTTTCATGGTAGTGTTATTCATATCGTTTGGGTCGTGGTTAGACCGTCAGCTTCGCTACCAGAAGCCATCGGACTCAATGAACATGATATTTAAATATACGTCAGAATTTCTTATCAGTCTGATAAGTGACGATCACGAAAGCTATTAATAACAGCCAAAACCTTTGTAGTGTAAAGTTTGCCTTATACAATATACAATCTCTTAATAAGAAAGCTCTTTATATGCATGATGTGATTACTGATATGGATCTTGATTTTCTGTGCTTAACTGAGACTTGGCAAACCCCTAACGAGTTTATGTTGTTAAATGAAGCTACTCCATCTGGCTATAAATTTGTAAGTCAACCTGGATCAGTAGGTCGTGGAGGAGGGCTTGCTATGTTGTATCGCTCTTGTTTCAAAGTTATGAGTGTGTCTCTTCATGATACCTCCTCATTTGAGTGTCTTGCTTTAAAATTTATTACAAATACACCATTGCTTCTTCTACTTATCTACAGGCCTCCTAAAGCATCTACCACCTTCATTAATGAATTTACTGAGCTCCTATCATCATTGACCTGTTTGTATGCATCTATTTTGGTCCTGGGAGATTTTAATATACATATTGACTCAAATACTTGCAACCTTGCTGACAATTTTCTGAATATGATGCACTGCTTTGATTTTATACAACATGTAAACTCTCCCACTCACTCAAAAGGTCACATGCTTGATCTTGTTTTTTCATATGGCATTTCTGTGACTGATCACAGTCTTAAGGATCTTTCCGTTTCTGATCACAAAGCTGTTTTATTTAATATAGTGGTTCCTAAGCAACACCGTCATTGTCGTGTTACACATTCCATTACCTACAGAAATATTAAGAACATTAATGTGGCTGAGCTTTTAGCTACATTACATTCCCAATTTAACGATCAGGCTTTTGGTAACTTAAGCCTTGACGATAAAGTGACGCTTTATAATACAACTTTCAACTGTGCTTAACCAGTACTCTCCCATGAAAACACGCTTTGTCTCATTTTTACATTCTGCTCCACGGTTCACACCGGAGCTACGTAAAATGAAGGCAGTAGGATGCCAATTAGAGACGTAGTAGGAGTACTGTCTTAACTGTACATGTTCAAGCGTACTAAGACCACGTGTTGGCTTACAAGGATTCCCTCAATAAGGCTAAATCAGTTTATTATTCCTCACTCATTACAAATGGTCAGAATAATCCTAGGGCTCTTTTTTCTACAATCAATAACCTATTCCAACCTCCTAGCTCTTTTCCACTTTTACCTTCAGTTGATCTCTGCTGTGAATTCCTTAACCACTTCCAGAATAAAGTTAGTTCTATTTATTGCCAGCTCCAGACATCATTGGTTACAGCTAATCTGAGTGAGGATTCTATGTTTTCAGTTCAGTTAACTCAATCATTCTCTGCTTTTACACCCATAGATGAATTTACTGTCTATGACCTTGTCTCAAAATCCAAGTCCACAACATCTCTTTTGGATCCCATGCCCACTCAACTAGTGAAGTACTGCTTGCCTGCCCTTTGTCCGCTCATTGCACAGATAGTAAATTAATCCCTTTGTACTGGTACTGTTCCTAGTTTATTTAAAACTGCAGTCATCACTCCCGTCCTCAAAAAGACCGGGACTGCAGTTGATGATCTTTATAACTATCGTCCTATCTCCAACCTCTCTTTCATTGCAAAATTGCTTGAGCGTACTGTTGCTCACCGGAGTAGAGGGCCTGGAATGGGACTGAGGCTTGTTTCTGAAGGTCCAGCTCCTTTTTATCAGCCTCCTCCACAGACTCCTCTTTGGGGGGTATGGGGGGAGCAGGAGGGGTTGAGGCAGAGCTGGGTCTGGGGGGGTGTGGGACTGGTGTGGGGCCGTGCGAGTACATTTGATGGTGGAGGAGTTTCTCTGTTTTGGGCCGGCTCTCCGATTTGAGGCTGGAGATGGGTGAGGGGAGGACGGGCACTGGCAGCAGGGCCTTGGCATACGAGGTGGAGGCCGTCGGCGAGCAGGGGGGCGCTGGAGGCTTTCGGGAGCTCAGGGACGCCGTCGAGGCTGCGCCCATGCCCTGCTTGGGCCCGTCGCTGCTCCGCTTGGCTGGCTTGTCTTCCAGGTCAGCTTGCTGCTCACTTGGTTTTAATCTCTCCTGTTGGTGCGGGGGGGGGGGGGGGGTTAGGACATTCCAGCCAACAACCCTTCCAGAGATGCACATGCAAGTCGATCCCACGGGGGCCCTTCAGGGAGGCCCTGGAGATGCAGTGTCTTAAATGTTAAAGGCATGGCTAAGCACCCCTAAGAGAGGCCCCGGGCCCCTTTGAAGCACCGGGTGGCATGTGTCAGTGCGGATTGTGTGTCAGTACAGGGATCACGTTAACAGCAATGGGATCTGCGGCGGCAGCTTCTATAAAAGCCGGGGGGGGGGGGGGGGCACCCACCGCGAAGTGTGCGCTGCGCTGCATCTGCATGACCTGCGCCGCCTGCTGCTGCATCATGTAGAGCTCCTGCTGCCGCAGCAGCTGCTGCTGTGACAGGAGCTGCAGCTGGTGCGCGTGCTGCAGGGCGCCGCCCGCCGGGGGGTACATGGCAGACCACAGTGGGGGGGCCCGCTCCATAAACTCGGCCGCTGCAGAGAAAGGGTGCCGGTGAGCGAGGCAGCAGCCAATCAGAGGAGGGCGTTTGGCGGGAGGTGGAGAGGTACCGTAGTGAGGCAGGTGTTCGGTAGGGATGACCAGTAGCTGGCCCGACTGGGGGTCCCGGGTGAACTGGTACGGGGGCGGGATGGAGCCAGGTAGGGTGGGTGAGTAGGCGGGGGGCAGGCCCTGGTGCAGGGAGTGGGGTCCCAGGCCTGTCCGGGCAGAGGGAACACACACTCAAACTCTCCGTCAACAATCAGAACAAACACCCAAAGGGGGGGGGGGGGGCGGGGGCTAGGGTTCTGTCTAGTGTCTAGACAGGGATTTCAGCCTGACGGGAAGGAAGTGGGGGGTTACGGTCGGACATGGCCGGGTCTCGTTTTGCGGTTATTTTTGGACGCTGGATTTGCACGCCCGGTGGAGCGCAATCCACTTGTGGTCCAGGATCAAACCTCAGGCTAAGGGGGGCTGGGTGGCTTGGGGGGCACCACACCCGAGAGGGAGATTATATTAGAAGCTGCCTGTGCACATGGGGTCGATCGAATATTGCTGTAGTAGAAAAGGAAAAAGTAACGTTTAATAGACACTGTTAGCGTCAGCTTCCTTTCTGTAGGTGCCACTGGAAATGGGGCGTGGGGGTGCTTACCGTAGTGCGATCCGGGGAGCCACATGGGGGGAGCGCCAGCGCGGGGCACCCAGGGGTGAGAAGCCAAGTGGGAGGAGGGGTCCGCAGGCCAGCGGCTGGCACCGACAAGGGCTGGGCCACCCGTCACCATGAGGTTGGGGTTCAGGGAGCTGGCGGAGGCCACTGGGGGGGGCATCTGCGTGTATTCTGCAAGCTCCTTACTCTCCCTGTGGACCAGAGGGAGGGGGCTGTGAGTGGTGGGGCTCTGGGGCCAATCGGGTCGGCCCACAGCGGCCAGTGGGGGCAGGAAGGCCAGCAGAGCACCTGCCACACACTCACACATTGGGGCTAGCACCAGCTAGCTAAGTGTCCACTCAAACGCCATTTCCGATTCCCAAACAGAAAACATGAGGTTCACGTGGGACAAACTCAGCACTACGTCCTTCCTCATCACTTACGCCAGCAGAGTGATGGCAAACCCAAGGCTGAGACAGAAAACATCCACAGCACAATGTGGAATAATATTCACATTAGCAAAGGTAGCTAAGCCAGGACTGGATCCAAGCATAGGAAAACTAGGCAGCTGCTTATAGGGCCCGATTGGCACAAGGGGGCCCAGACAGAGCCGGTTCTAGCTAGAGGCGGAATAGGCACTTGCCACTGGCTCCTCTATTTCAGAGGATGTGAAACCATTATCAGATTTCCTACTAGGGGGGCCTCCCAAGTAGAGCTTTACCTCGGGCCCCTGTCAAGGTAGATCTAGGCCTGAGCTCTGCTTTGGGATTAAGAACCACAGGGCCAGGCTTCAGAGCATGATTATGGGACACGAGTCTGCATACGCTGGCAGCCTTACCCTCCCGGTGCATGTGTAAGCAGCGATACAGCTGTCAGACAGGCCCAGCGAACAGGGGGGGGGGGGGTAATCCCGCGTTTTACGCTAACGTGGCTGTCTAACAGGCTGCCGTGTGGCCGCTACCAAACATCAGAAATGGCTGCGGTTGCTTTGGAGACTGGCCTCAGCACAAATTTTAGGGCAAGATCATAAAGCCTGAAAGAAAAGCAATTGCCCGCAGTGGGCAATTTCCAAGCCCTCCACCCCCAAAATACACCCCCACTTTACTCTCCTATGCCTTTTTTTGAAAAGATGCGTCTACAAGCCAGGGAGGCATCGAGGGTAAAAGGACATGAGCAGGATCCAGTCAGCCTGCCCCCCCCCCTCCAATAATCTGGGCCATTTTTACCAGTAGAACAAACCAAGCAGCTTGGGCTCCCTGAGCTTTTACTCATTATAATACATCTTAATGCCAACGGATGGCTCTTCCCGGCCTCTCTTGGCATTCCTGGGCACAGAGTTCCGGCCTGGGAATGCCAAGCGGAGCGTCCACACGCTCCCAGACCTGATCAGACGCTTTGAATCGCTGCTCCTTTAACAAGTAACCTTCAAAGGACAGACGCCCCCCCCCCCCTACTTTTATCAGCCCTTATCGCCGGCTTGCATGCGGCACGGCGCAGGCGGCGGGTGGACATCAATCCCAGCAGCATCCTGCTCCCCCGCACCTTCCTCACTGAGGGAACGTGCATTTCATGCCATTGTCCCACTTGCAGGTGCAGGAGAAAAATCCATCAGACTGTCTCAGGAAGATGGGAAAAAAGTGACACGGCTTCTCCTTCCTGTTTCCTGCAATCCTCACTGTTCCATCATCTCTGGGCCCGGGAGGGGGGGGGGGGGGGGTCCATTATTATTAGAATCAATAGTAACAACAGATGGGGGCTGAACACACACAATAACTCAGCTTAAATAACAGGCAGAAGATCGTTTTCTTTTGTTCTCACAGGGCTGTTTCTTGTCCCATAAACACATTTATTTTTGGTTTAAATGCTTACATCCCAGTCACCCTCATACGAATTTCAGAACATATTTTTGGGAGACATGAAATTTTGCATCCCAGCAGCGTAAATATTTCTCCTCCTGCCGTTCCGGTTTATGCTCCACATGCGTGTGCGTACACGTACGGCTCTGCGACCCCTACAGCCAACACCGCCTCCCCCCCATACCCCTTACCGTAGCAACTTCTCCTGCTCTCTCTCCAGGCGGCCGGCCAGCAGACGGTCGTCACGGTGACGGGAACGCTCATCAGCCCTGTCATCCTCCACGCGGCCCGAGGCTGGGGGGGTGGGGGGTTTATACAGAATTTTTTTAAATTAATTTTACAAAAACTGATTTTGAAGAACTAGCAGCTTAAGGATGAAGATCCTGAGAGGAAGACTATTCACAGAGCCCTCCCAGACAGCCTGGAGCACAAACATCTGGACGAGCATGGGATGGCTGGCTGAACCCCCAAAGACACCAGCCCCCAGAGCCCCCATGCTATTGCCCACAAATCGAAACGGCAACCCAGCATTGTACCAGGACCCTGAGGGACAGCTACTCCTACAAAGTAATATGATTTTCTGGAAACTACACTCTAAAATGGTACCTCTATGGACGATGAGGAGAAACAATATGACCTTATCATCATCATAATCATAACTGTACTCCAGACACCATGAACACTTATGGCCATGCCTGTTCACTGGGGGCACAGGAAACTCCTTCAAGGTTCACCAAATAACCACAGAAACTCCAGCGGAGAAGACGGGTTTACATTTGTGTATTTAACCTTTCAGAAATGCCATAAAATGCTCCGTTTTCCCCTCTCACGGACTAAACAATCAAATTCTGTGCCCGGGAGATGGAGGTATGCATCTCAGGCCCTTAGAAGACCAGGCTTCCAGGCTGTTCCCTAGGCAAACACTACAGATTAGTGAACTGAAAACCAGCTTTCTGCTTTTTTAAAATACTCTAAATTCAAACATTCTCCTCTCAATGCAAGCGGACTAATGTTATTACTACAATCCCCTGGCACGGGGCAGGAAATAAATTAATGATTTTCTCCTCGCTCTGGGTCCATCGCCTAGCAACAAGCCCGAAGGCCTATCACAATGCGGGGGCTTGTTTTCAGCTTTTAGTTCTGCTCAGTAAATTTCATTTAAAACGCAGAACAGCGGCTTCGCGGTCTGGGAAAAAAAAAAAAAAAGCCTGAATGAAAGCAGCCCGCCCCACAAGGGTGGGGAAGCCCAGGCAAAGGCTGACCCCCCGCCCCCCTCAGCCCCCTGCACTGCATTAAACCCAGACCGGACAAGCAAGCAGGTCAGTTTCTTGTAGCCTTTGCTTTCCCCCATGTCAGCCTATACAGGGCATGCTCAGTGGGAGATGAGCAGTCACATGACACTGCCGTGGAGGCGGCAGGTAGGGCGGGTAGAGGGCCAGTGTGTACCTTTGATGCTGCCGAGCTTGCCGCTGTTATCCCTCTGCCGGGCCACTGCCACAGCGATGCCCACGGGGGGGTGCCGCACTTCCACCTCACCCTGGGGGCCGATGCTCTCGCGGCCAAAGGACTTGGCGCTGTCGGGGCGCTCAGGGTCCCGGCGCAGCTGCTTGGTGGGCTGCTGGGGTGGCAGGTGCTGCACCCTGGAGGAGCCCGGGGCCCCTGCCTCCACCTTCACGCAGCCTAGGCCCCCAAAGGGGTTCTTGGAGTCGGAGGCCGGGCGGGTCGGGTCCCGCGAGAAGCTGCCGCTGTACTTGATCAGGCTTTGCATGGCGGACACCTCGCCCTCAGAGCCGGACCCGGCCGGCCGAGATGCCACAGGAGGGTCCAGGTAGGCCTTCTTCCCATCCTCCTCTGGCCGTCCCGAGTGCCCATGCTGGGCGATCAGCGCTGCCATCTGGCTTGAGGCGAAATTGCCCATCTCGAAGGGCTTCCACTTGAGGTCCGGTGAGGCGAAGGGCTGGGGTGGCTCCGCGCCATGGGCAACCTTACTGGCCTCCCTCGTCGGTGCCCTCTGTGGCCGCTCCCGCTCTGGGTTCCAGGGCTCCGACTCTGGCCCCATTCTACTTGCCTCCTTGGAACTGCCTTCTGGGCTGGGGCCTGCTTTCTTCGGGTACGCCTCCGTCGCTGCCAATCTCTTCAAGGCGGCAGTGTTGGCCCTGATGACGGAACCCTCCTCGCGCACCGGCTCGGGCGCATGGGGGTGCCGCCCTGGCTCGTACCGGCTGCACTCCCGCTCCCCGGGCCGGTCCCGGGCCTGGGAGGCGATCTGAATGGGGCCACTCCTCTCATCGTAAACCTCGACAGAAGGCACGAACGTGGGGGCGATGATTCTGTGCTCTTTGGCAGTGCCATGAAGGGGGTAAAGGCTGGGTGGGGGCAGCCGGGGAGGGGGCGGGGCAGGGGTGCCATGGGGGGAGGGGCAGACACAGGGCACACGTGTTGCCAGTTCGCATTTCCACAGCTTGTCATCCTCGTCGGGACCTGCTGTCCTGGAACACCGCTCAGGCTCAGGTCCCAGGTACTTGGAGGGGGGGGCAATAGTCCTGCAGGCGACCAAAGGTGGGGGTGGAGCGGGGATCCTGGCCTTGGGCTCAGTGGCAGGGTCGGGGAAGAGCGGCGAGGAGTGAGGGGGCCGGCGCTCCTCCTCGGGCCGGTCCTGGGTCAGGTCCACCACGCTGAGCGGCCGGCCCTCATCCCGTGGCTTCTCCCTGTCCCGGCGTGGCAGAGCGCCACCTGTCTCACCCTTGTGCGACTTCTCCCTGCCTGTGTCCTTGGAGCCTTTGCCTGAGAAGAGGACGTCCTTCTCCCGGGACAGAGATGTGGACAGGGGTGCCACAGGGGTGCGGGACAGGGAGGGCTGGGAGTGCAGGGTGCTCGGCGTGCCGTGCCCAGGCAGGTAGAAGCCGTCTGCAAGGAGAGAGCACAGACATTTCCTCAACCGCTGCAGGTGGAAAGTCCTGCACGGCAAGAAATTAGCTAGTAGGGTGTCGGCTGAGCCCCCCCACCCAATCCCACCCAGGCTGGAAACCAAAATCAAAATCTGTGGCTAAGACATCTCATGATGCACCCTGGTGGACCACTCACCTTTCTGCGATTCAAAGAGCATGTGCTGTCCCAGTTGGGCGTGGAGGGCGCTGACGCCGCCAGGGGCCTCCAGGGGGGCCATGGGGAGGTAGGGACTGGGGTAGAGGCCACTGGGCAGGGGGGGGAAGCCTGCAAAGGGGACGAAGATCACTGAGCGTCTATTCAGTCAGCAGGAAACAACTGGAGATCAAAACAGTCACCTCCCTGCACATAAAGCTACAAACCAGGCACACACACATGTAGACTCAATGGCCATAAACAGAGCAGCCTTTTATTGACCAACAGCTCAGACAACTTTTAATGGCATTTTAAAGTGCAATACTTTGTTGCGCCAAAGGGGGCACCAGCGCACACGGGACCGAATAATCGTGTCATGGGGGACGCAGGGGGCAGTCAACAGGTCGAGACGGGTGGTCAGCATGGCCAGTCAACAGGATCGGATCCCCGGAAGATGCACGTGGTGCCCTAACACAGACATGCCCCCTACAGGGGAGGGGAAGAATGACTGAAGTCATTTACAGAGTGACTGGCCCATGAGACAGGAATGTATCAGCCAGGCGGGCAGACAGAGTGGGGCAGACAGGCGGGCACAGGTGGGCACAGGCGGGCAATGACTGAGCTGACAGCACCCAGAGCCTGGCCCCTGCATCCTTCTGCTCATGGCACCCAGGATCAAAAAAAGAGGCTCCCAAAGAAAAATGGAGGGGGGGGGTGATCCATCAAATGGATTAACAGTCTAGAGCAGCGACTTTGAACTGGCCAGAGGCCAATGCAGCATATACGATGGCAAGTTAACCGGTTAACTCCCCAGGGGGCAATTGGGGAGGGTTAGGGCTTCAATAAGGCAGGGGGCTGGACCAGAATCTTCTCCAAGAGGAACAATTACTTTTAAAGGATTTGAACATTTGGACTTCATTTAATAGAGAACTCACTGAAAATTAGGGGGGACCATAGCAAATTTATAACTGCTCCAGATGGGGCTCTGCTTTCTGTGTCTGGGAGGGTAAAGGCAGAGGGAGGCAGGCCTCATCAAGCTGCCACATGCACCCGCTCCACTCCCAAAAGATGGGAGGAATGCAGTAGCCCACTGATCCTGGATCAGCACTGGGGATATATCCCCCAAGAGCAAAGCGATGGGGGGGATGGAGAGCCGCACGGCTTTAACAACCCGCTGAACAGGCCCCTGGGCCAATTGCCAAGCCAGCTGCAGCTCTGCTCCCGGATTGGACTGCAGGGTCACATCCCACCCCACCCCTCCCCCCTTCAGCCAGCACCTGGGTCCAGCTTCTACCCACTGATGAGAAACATTCAGTGCATGCATGCAAACGACAACATAAATCTGCATCAGTCGTGGTGGGGGTGGGGGTGGGGGCCAGCCCAAGCCCCACAACATGTTCACAGGTCGCACGCCGACCGGAGACACGGTCAGACCAGAGATGATTATTATCCGCTAATTATAAAAATGAGCCAGAGTGTCTCCATGAGCCTTTGGATCACTGTCATGCTCACGACATTATCCAGTGTAGCGACCCGACAGCAACACGACACCCCGCGTCTTCTGGGGGTGTACGGACCCCCCTGCCGGCCAGAAACACGTGTCATGGGCCGCCGGCTCAGTCCCCTCAGCCCTGACGGGTCACTGCACACTGCCACCGGGGAATGCAGGCGTGGCCGATTACGTGGGAGTCCCTATCCCTGGGCGTGACGCAGTGACGGTCACCCGGTTCCTGCTTCACGCTGCCGGCTGGACGTCGGACAGAATGAGCCAGTCGAGTGAGTACAGTGAACAGCCGAACAGGCATCAGCACAGGCTGCAGAACCCAGCCCCTCCCACCCCCGGGCCCCACAGCTGCATGGCTTAATCCCACAAACGCTGGAGGTGGGACTTCAGGTTCATGCCAAACCATGAAAACAGCAGATATTAAATAAGAATTAACAACCAGCATCTGGGGCCAAAACAGGAGTACAAAGCTCATTTTCAGGAACTTGTGTTACATGTTATTCATTTGACTGACTTTTATCCAAAGCAACTTACAGGAGAGGGAAGGATTACAATTCATGGGGGGGGGGGGGGGGGCTCCCTAGGATGTGAACCATGAGCATTGTTAGAGTGGGGCTTTTGTGCCAAATTGACTTGAATCGGAATACACAAGGAAGGCTGCACAATTGCACATGTACAGCCCATAATACTCAGGGGCTGCCCAATCTGTATTTGGTTATCTGCCTATCAGGACACGCGTTTACTCAAATTTATTTCAGGGACAAGTCACCGCCCAGGTGGACAGCACGCTCACATCGAATGGGATAAAGGTGGGGCTGTTACCTTCGTGGGGGTGGGAAGGCCAGAGCTGCGTCATTGGTAGACCAGTGGGGTTGGGAGCCCTGAAGGAGGACTCTGACGCCAAGGGGGTGGGGGCCCCATGTGGGTGGGTGGAGCTTACATAGCCACCGAGGAAAGATGTGGAGCCACCTGGAAAGGCATCACCTGTTGGCAATAAGGGGGGGGGGGGGAGAGAGTAAGCCAGTATTACAGAGTAGAGGAAAAGCTCAGGAACACTGTCCAATCACATGATAGCAGGTCCATTTACAAAAACATGACATGTCACACCCCCAACCCCCCCCAGTGACTGTAATCAGCACCAATCACACAAATCTGTCTGGGCTGCCCCAAAGCGCACGGCTCATGCCAAAGGGGCGGCTCACATTTGGGGATCCCCCCTCCCCCCCGCTTGTAAACAAGTCACGAATGGTTGCCGCCCAAGCTAAATGTTATGCTGGCCAGTGTGACAATGGGCACCAGATGGGCCGTCCGGGAACAAGAGGCTAAATAAAGCAGCTCCTCCATGCAGCAGCCTTGACATTTCTGTGTGAGTGGGGGGGCAGTATTAGGTTCAGTCTCTCCGTCTGTATTTGGTGAGTCATAAACTTGTGTGACTCTCCGTTTGAAACGCGACCTCTCCCTGTAACAGTGCCCAGGCAACGACAAGGATCCCACAAAAATCCATCTATCAGACATTACCCATCATCACAGATAAAACCCTCATTCTGGGAGCCCCCCACCCCACATGTACATGTGAAGCATTTCATCACCCCCCCCCCTGAAATGGGCTAATCCAGAGTCTGGGGGGGGGTGGGGCATTAGCATGTGTAAAAGGAGCATTAGCACGACAGAAAGCGTGACTAAACTCCCCCAGGTACTGCGGGCTGGACTAATCTGCCAGTGTAATGATTTCCCCATGGGGGAGCATTTACACCCCACCTGAACATTGGACATTCCGGAGAGTGAAAGGCACGGTCCAAAAACAGCCTTCAGGAGCATTGTGACATTACAGAAGCAACAGCATTTAAAATCAGATGCAGAGGACCCTGTACACTTAAGACAAGCCAGCTTCCCAGTCCCCCCCGAGACAGGCCATACGGGGGCAAGCAGGACGAAATGCCATGGGAGGGTGATGAGCGCATAGGGCAGAGGGCAGCCCCGCACGCAGATTATGGAGAGCAGACAGATTCAGGCAGACTCAAAGCAAACAGGTTTTAAAATAAACACGAACTGCGGCGATTTGTGGCCTTTTATCACGTCGGCTCACAGGCTGCTTTGAGATGCTAAACTGCTAATACCAATGAACCCCCCCCCCCACACACCCATAATCCTATTAACACAGTTTGGTTTTTGCCTGCCCCCCCCCCCAACAAAAGAAAAAAAAACAACAACCTTACAAGAAGGCACCGATGGCAGGGCCCTCTCCCCCGCACGGCGAGACACCTACGAGATACCAAGCTTCATCTGTAAGGGAAATGCAGACAGCCAGCGCGAGCCCCGAATCCCAAATGCCGCCCCCAGTGAGCTCCGCAAACGGCCACGTTGCAGCAGAACGTCTGAAGGCTTTCTTTGAAAGGCTGTACGCAGACAGGCCGACTGCTAGCAAATCCGCAACATTGTTCTGGCTTTCGGCGCCGGCGAGCCCATCTGCGGAGCGCTTAGAGCGCCACGTAACCCGATAACAGCTACAGCTACACCCCTCAGGCCATTAGAGACAGGTGCTCTGCTGTTCCCGGTCATTCCACCCAAGCCAGCCCTCCGAAGATCGGAGGATGCCTGATGTTTCAGTGAAATTATTCCACCTCCCCGATCCAGTATGTGCCATTTACCTAATTAACCAATCTAAGGCAATTAACCAAACAAGGTCTTTGAGGCTAGAACGAGGTGTTCTAGTGAGAGTGGAGTAAGTATGCGGGCGAGGCGATTCCCTCACTGCAGGAAACCTCACACCCCAGAGATACGGAATGATCCGTTCTGTCCAGGAGGAAAAATGTCCTCTGCTCTTGCTTAAAAACACAGGATGTGTGTCTGTTACACTGTAAATGAAAGAAGCCAATGAGAAAGACCAACCCCCATCCCCCTAACACACAGTCAATACGTTTACATGCACAGCTACCTTCTTGAAGTACCAAAAGTACGGTACCTGGTGCCGCGGAACAGCACCCTTTAGTTGAGCGGTGAATTGGACAGCTTTACAGTGCTGCATGCCCCCCCTATGCTCCGTGCTTCTGTTACTTCCGGGTCAAAGCACAGGGGGGGGAAACCGTGGAGTACGTGCAGAGTGCCTAGGTCAGTTTGAGTCCGACTGAACGTGTTCATGCAGGAGTAAATCGACTCCCTATCTGGATGTCTAACAGTGCGTTCCATTTGCCCTCGGAACTCGGATTCCGAGTTTTGAAGCCGAAAGTGACGACATGCGCTCCCATTTCTTGGAGATCCGAGAAATATCTCGGACAGCACAGAGGATCCAGAGTTCAGAATCCAAGATGGCTGCGCCCTTTATCAACAGAAGGGAAAGTTGTAGTTTTATCCTGTTTAAAGCACTACTTCTCATTTGTGGCTCATTAAATCGGTCGCACACACTATACCGTCCAACTTCTGTGGACATGTTGCTACGGAGTTTTATACGTGAAGCACTGCGCGTAATGTGTTATCAAGTGATACTGCTAACAATGGGTAACAATTAACCAGGCTAGAATTGGATTTCATGATTAAGTCGGATTATTTGTGGGGATTTAAGGTAGTTCGGGCTAATTGTAAGTGAACAAAGATAAAGGCCATTTAAACTGAGGTACCTTAAATCCGACAAGTTGTCCGGCTAAGCAAAAAATCCTGCTTTTTCCATACGGGTCCATGGTATTGCTACTTCTGTGGCAAATGGAAAGCATCCGACTCAGTTTTCCTGAGTTTTTAGAAGATGACGTAATCTCGGAATCCGAAAATCGGATCCCAAGGCAAATGGAACGCACCATTAAACTAAGAGAAATCCCA